TAATAATAACCCTTGAGTAGTTTATAGGATTTGTTTATGCCAAGTCCTGACCAGGTGGATTTCGTATCCGGCATACTCAAATAAGTTAAGCGGGTAAGAATCATGAAAAGAAACCATTTTAGGAGTGAATAAATTATTTGGTGTTTATAAGATATCTTAATGTGGGGAGAATCTAAGTAATGATCGACCGGAGCTCGAACGTAATATTTGAGAATATAAACGGGAGTTCAATAATTATTTGGTAGTGGAAAATAAATAATTATTTAATGATTAATTAAATGAATTATTTTAAGAGTTTGGATTTAATTAATCATTAGTTGCCCGATTTATATTTTCTCCTTTAGTCCTTATTTTAGCCCAATGGATTTTCTAATTAATCGAGAAAATAAATTTCAACCAATATTATATATTGGAATTAATATAGCCAAAAATTAAGTCCCCATTCGACTGCAATTTTCGACTATGTAGAGTGATAGAAGGAGTGGAATTTGTTTATATGTAATCCTCTCTATGTGTGACTCTAATTCATTGTGCTATATATAATAGAGATTGGGTTGATGAGTAAAAAAAAAAAGAATTCTACACGCCTATTCCACGGTGGAGAGAAATATATGTCTATTCTTCTTTTCTCTCTCTCGATTATAAGTTTAGATTTCTTCAAGTACAAGTTCACCCTTAAGGAAAACACAATGAACTAAGAAGGAGAATAGTCGCACACACGTGGGATAAATATGGCCTCATATGATTTTATTATATGTAAACTAATGTTAGTTAATTTATTTCAAGTTTAGATAATTTTTCAAAGTTTACAATATAATTCTTAAATGATATAGTTAAACAATACTTAAAATTGCGCCTATAATTGATATTTATAAAATAAAATATACTAAAATTATGAGAAACATTGAATCTATAGTTTTGGGACATATATAGTGTAATGATATTGGAGATGAACCTATTTGTTCACCATAAAAATAGGATTTAGTGAAAAAAATAGTGAAACCGGTGGGAGATGCTTTTACAAAGTAAAATTGTTGATTGTGAAATAATATTTAGTGGTATATGTATGACTAAAATTTTGTTGAGAAATAAATTTTTTGAAATTAATATCAGGATAATACCATTTGACCTCTTTGTGGGGTTGCAAGTTAAAATACAATATTGAGACTTTAAACGGTTTGTTCTAATTAAAATGACATTTTTCGTAATTATTTGATGTACAAATGTTAGTAGAATCATTCATATAAATAGAAATATTTTCTTTATGTACATTAGATTATGGATATTTTAGTTTTAAAGTTAAAAAAAATATATTAGTTCATATCTTTGATTAGTATTATATTAAACTAGCAATTCTCACCGTGCGATGTACTTGATTGCAAAAAAAATGAAGAAAAATTGAATATATAATAATTACATTGTTTTAAATAAATAAAAAGCCACATCCGTGTGTATAAGAGAGAGAAAGAGTAAAAAGATATACCATCCGAACGGATTAGAATTTTATTAGCGGATTTGTAAATTCGATTTGCTATGAACGTCATTAGAGAAAAAAAATGGAAAATAGGAGATGAAAAATACTAACAATTAAAATATTAAATAATTACAAATATGCCATTAGGTTTCTTAAGTTTCCCTAGCGTTTCTTACTTATATATAAGATTATAATCAATTTCTGACAAATTCTTAGAAATTTAAATTACAAGATAACATGTTCAGAAAAGTTTGCTCCAACGGTGGTATGAGGTTTAAAGTAGTAGCTATGTGATTCATTTCATTTTCAAGTTGGTTTATGGTTGTACCGTAAAATTTAGAATATGGAACTTTTAAATTAAAAGCTCGTGTTGAATTCACACTATTACTTAATTTTTTTTAATACTTTCTTTGTCATATTAAATTATGATAAATATACCAAATTCAAAATATATAAAAACAAATTAACTAGACACGTGCAAACGTGCACCTACCTAGTAAGATACAAGGGGAGAAAATGAGAGTAGTAATTTACCATTGAATAGATGCAAGCAAAAATATACCTTTTTTTTATATTAAATAAAGTTATATTAACATCACATGTACATTTTCTATTATATTTATAATATACAATAATATAATAGAGATGCAAAGCCAAAAGTATTAAATTAAGGATCTAAACATAAATTATAAAATCATTGAATAGATGCAAATAGTAACAAATCTTCCATTCTGTTTTGATAATAAAGTATTGCATAAAACCAAATAAAATCCAATTCAAATAAAATAAATCTAATGAACAAAATTTCATGATCCATCAATTCAGCTATTCACCAAATGAAACTAAATAATAAAAAAAATCCCTACAAAAAGAATTTTAATTAAATTCTTGCTGGCAAAAAAAATCAAAAAATCATCGACTACGTTTATGCATTGTTCAACTGTTGATATTTACGCTGAAGGTTTGCTCTCTTGAGCTCCATGAACTTGGCAGCTAGTTCATCATAATCCGGTAGCTTCGGGTGTATATGTTTACACGAAGTGTTTGATAATTCAAACGGATACGATTTTGATATGTTAATGTTGTCTGCTGTAATAACACTACTCTGTTTAGGCCTTTCAACAGCCATAGTCAAACCCCTTAACGGAGGTACCTCAATCGATTCTCCTTTCCCGCTATTTTCTCGTTCGTCCGTGTGAGAATACTTACACAATTGTAGACCTCCGCTTTCATCCTCTCTCTCGTTTTCATCTCTACAATGATACAAGTAACCATCCGACTTTTGCCTGTCGCGCACTAAAATCTTGTTTGATACGCCGTAGTACGTTGCGCTTTCAATATCTGCGATATTATGATTTTCTCGGGATAACGAACTTCTTCTTGTTCTTGTTTTTGTACTTGCTTTCTTCTTTGTTGATATCAACTTCTCTTGGAAAAGCGTTTGTTCCTCGAGATTAGTGTACTCGATTTTGTAATCCGTTTTCTCCTTTAAGCGAATCCCGAATGATTTGAACACGAACAGTCTCTGAACTTGGAGATTCCCATCTTTGCCCAGAGGTGAAATAAACTCCTCAATGTCATCGAGATACACTATTTCCCGATCAGGCAATTCGACTGAACTTTCCGAAGAAGACTAGTTGCACTCTGCAGACATTATACGTTTTTGCGTATGAAGATTGGAAACTTGGATTGGAGTCGAAAGAACGAGCTCTTTTCCCAGTGCAAGAGATTCTTCTTTCGACGTTTTTGTATACGAATCCGTATACGTAATATTCCCTTCTGCTTCTCTCCCAATGTAAAGCTCAACTTCACCTTCGGTTGCTTTCTGGTAAGACTAGACATTGTGTAGGTAAGTTAGTTGAGATAGGTGAGATTAAAAAAAAAAAAAAAAAAAAGAGAGATAGAGATAGGATGAAAAATTGTGTAAGACGAATGCACGACAAATTACTTTATCTTCTTGCAACTCGGGTTTGTACTCGAGGAACAACGGTCCAGCTTGCTGAACGAAACTACGACCTATTTCATCCAGTAATTTGTATTTAGCATCATCAGACACCTTTTTAATGTAAAGCTTCTCTTTTATCTGCCAAAATCATGACAATATTAAGACTCAATCAATATTCAAATATTAAAACTTTGATATTGATGCTAATATTCGAATATTAAACCTGACTATTCACAAGATTTCCGGGAAGTAATTCGATTGCGGTAGTTACGAATTTGTCACCGTAACGCTCTCCAAACAGCTTGCGAATAGATACAAGCTCGGGCAACTGTCCGAATCTTGCTGATGAGAAGATCAGAGTTGATATGCTTCATTAATATCGGGCGGGCAGTTCCTTACAAAGTTAAAAACATTAATTATTCAAGTTTCATAAACGTAACTGTATTTTCATAGAGAGAGAGAGAGAGAGAGAGAGAGAGAGAGAGAGAGAGAGAGAGAGAGAGAGGAATACCTGTGCTTACGAATATAACGAAAATTAAGTAGTATAAATTCAGAAAAGTGGTCGAGAAGATCATATATTTGAACCCAACTCTCATCCATGATAACCTGCTCAGCCTGAATAAAAGTTTGAAAAACAAAAACTTATATATATCATATACATACATATATGATGTATACACGCACGCACAGTAGAAAGAACGAACGCGTATTACCCTTTCGAAGGCGGTAAGATGGTGACCGTGTTTGAGAAGCTCAGCGACATCTTCTCTCAAGTGATTCACAATACAAACCCTTTTGTTCTTCAGAAGCTTCAGCCGGCATTGTACCTTTCTTACAAGTTTCTTACTGTTGCATAATAGAAAACAATTATTACAACATAAGTTCAGACAAACATCGATCATCACTTGATTCAAGAATCAGAAAGAAAGAAAAAAGAAAGCCCATTAATTATATTGTACCATTTTGAAGCTTTTCTCCATCCAAACAGTATCTCAAACATTATAATTTCAGGTGATTTCTTGCTATTCATGGTAAACCAAACACCTGATTATTATTGTAATAAAGGGGCATGTGTGATGTTTCTTCTCTTTTAGCTACGCTGCAGAGGATTTTAAAAAATAATAATAATATAATCTTTATATATAAAAGAAATGTTTTTTACCTAAAAAACAGTTTTTTTCTTGAAAAATAAATCCCTTTGTTTTCTCCTTTCTTTTCTCCACATCAAGACACGTTGGTTTTTATTTTTATATAATTATAATTATTTTCTTTAAAAACAAATCCCTTTCTTTTCTCCTTTTCTTTCTCCTCTTCAAGACACGATTGTTTTTATATAATTATTTTTAATACTTTTCTGCACGATCTTCCTCTTTTATCGTATTATGGGAAATGTTTTAATAGCACGTTTTTTTTTTTTCTGTTTTTTTTATATAATTAATTATATTTGTTTTTTCTTATATTATCCTCTTTTCTCCTCTTTTATATCTTACATTTGAAATAGTTCTTATTGCACGTTTTTAATCCTTTTCTTATATAATTATTATTTCTTTCGTTTTTTCTTTTCTTTTTGTTTTTTTTTTCTTTTTTTTTTTTTTCGTTTTTCCACTCAACGTCATCTTCAACTTCTTTTCTTAACTTTCCCACTTTTCTCCATCTCAACCCCATAAATTTCTCTATATATACATGTTACCAAGAACATCGAAGAACACTATAGTTGTATAGAAATTATTATTATTACTAGTAATCGATATCCGTGCGATGCACGGGAAATAATTTTTTTTTTTTGTAACATATGGTAAAAGGATTCGGAAAAAATTGCTGATTACATCTCTAAAGTAGAATCAGTGTAGTTAAACTCGTGATATATCCGTACAGTTTCAATCAAAACAATATAACACAAACGCAATATTCATCTCTGAAAAACAGATTTGAGGCAAATAAATCTCTTCAATTTTCTTCAATAATTCAAAACCTAGTGATATACTGCTATCTCTTCAATTTTCTTGAATCATTCATCGAAATCTCTCACATGCCAAACAAACTAAATTAAAAGAGCATATACAGCTATATATTACCAATAAATTAGTATACAAACACAGTTTCAGCAATCAAATACATCTTAATTCAGAACACGATTAGCACGCACTGGAATCATCGATCATATGCTTAAATGGTATAAATATAACCCATGGTAAAGATACGGTCAACTAAATACATTTATGTACATGTATGTCTAGAAAATGAGGTGAGAATTGTCGACGGATAAATTCATAACACCGTACACTTCAAATTAGATCCTCAATACCTCGTGAAATGACTACATATTAAATTATTTTCCGTAAGAAACTGTAAGGAATTCAAATGGTAGCATGTTATGAGCATCTTTAAAACGTTAACAAAGATCATATCGAATAATGATATTATCATAACTTGGAGTTTTATGTTAAACTGGAATATTGACCTCCATGCTTCTTATGTTGTCATATAAAAAATTAAAATAGTACCTTCTTTAAGATGGAAACTCCGGGGTAAAACAGAACCATGGCGAGCAAAAACCCGACAAAAGGAAACATCTGTTACAAAAACATAAGAATGGGTATCATAAAGGTTAGATCTTTATTTCTTGATTATTGATTCAATTTCGTAGAAAATGAAAGAACCCAATGTACACATCTTGAAGTTTTAGATTATCCAGGCTGAATGAATGGGGAATTGTTGAGAATCCGTGAATAAGTGATTTTAAACAACTATTTTGAAGACGACAATAACCGAAAACGAAGTGTTAATGAGAGATAAGCGAAAACGACAATAACCATTTTGAAGTTTCAAACAACTATTTTTTTTCCAAACAACATACAAAAGGTGGGAATTCAGAAAGTAATGAATGATGAACTAATTTTTGAAAAACAAGGACAAAAAATGTACAAAAATCAGATTTTTTTTCTTCAAATACATACCGCAAATGCCACTGCCACAACATCTCATCCAATTTCTTCAAATTCAACCCGTGTAATCTCATGTCTAATGATCCAATTCGCTTGGTTCATTAGAAATAACAACCATATCACTACGATGATAGTATCAAAAGATTTATAAAAATAGCTTGATAGAATATTGTGAAGAAAACTGGAAGGAACAAAACTTTTCAACTGGTCAATTTCTCGACGAATCCAACACAAAACATAAAGGAAACGATAATTAGATAAATAATCAAATAATTGCTTGGGCTTCTTCTATCTCTAGTAATATTTCTTGCCTATCGCTATCAAATAAAAAAAATATAAAATAAAAGCCTCCGACCATAGCTACAAATCCAAACTCCAAATGGAGTCCTATGTAAGTAGCAAATAAAAATCCACTTTAGATCCCCAAATCCCAACAATTATTATAAATGTTTACGGAGAAAAGGGAAGCAATGAGTTGAATCTGTAATCTGTTCATTTTCTCCATCTGTTTGTGAGAGGAAATATTTGCTAGACAATTAATACGTGAAAGAAAGTTAAAAGGAATTAATTAAAAAGAAAAATCGATTGCTGGCTGCAGCAGTTACTCACGTGTATTCAGCTTTTTTTAACTGAAATGTTAATTGTAGCGGGACTTTTACTGAAATTGACATATTTGCAGCGGTAGTCTCATTTGTCAATTTTCTAACTTTCTAATTATTTGAGAATGGCAAAGATTAGTACAAAATTTCATAGGTTCATCCTCCGATTGAACCCCTATTCCAATTCTGACTCCATTCACTATACTAAACTGTTGAATAAGTTTTGGAAGAGCCAATATGCATATAAATTGTACGGCATCACAAATAATGGTGCAACTTAATTAACTAATAGTGTAACACATATAGAAAAAAAAAACAAACATTCCATTTCATCTTCATAAAATCCACGAGGAAAAAAACTGAAGCAAACACAAATATGATAGAAATTAACATCCGATTGATGATATGCACACAATTCAACATGAATAAAATTCACAATCATTAATCCATAACTGAAATCAAAATCATCTTTCTCGACAATTACATATTTAGGAGTAGAGATTTAAACAGATAACTGAAAACTTTATTCTTGCATTCAACTTGCTGGATGAAACCAAATAATAAAAAAATAACAACAAAATAACTGGAGGCTTGCTGGATGAAACCTAATGAAGAAAATAGGTCCTAGTAGAAATATATATGTCTATATTATTTTAGGCACAAAGAATTTATGATAGCAAACACCTAACAGCTTTTATAACCTTATATATGAAACTTGAAAGGCGTTCATTCAATTAAATTAGCTCTATGTTCAATGAGTCGTAAACAAAATGAATTCATGTCAGCCATATAATTTCTGATCAATACAATTAAATGATCACTAAGATTTAAATGATCCATGAAAAGGTCGAAAGAAATTCTTACTTTTGACGGAGGAGTTAACCCATTGGTGATTGTCGTTATCCATGTTTGTGCACATTTAAACCCTCGTACTTTGAGCTTTATACGGAGAAGGCCACTGCTTCGGCGGCGAAGAGTTTGAACAAATACTTCTTTTGTTAAATTCTGGTCATTGAACTTGAAAATATATATGTATTAGGCAGTAATTTGTAATTTATTAGTCAAACAGTTTGATGTCCTCTATATAATCATTGATATTACCCCTTCAGACATTAAATCAAACATCTTATAGGCATCACCAAGTTAGCAGCTCTACAACTACCCAAAATCAAACAAGTGCAAAATATAAACATTGAATAGATATCTAATTTCACAAAAGAAATCAAAAGCGACCTATAATAAGGATAAATAACAATGGATATATAAGTACGCAATTAAGCGAATCAATTATTCAGAAAGAATGATAGCTCACAGGGAAATCGAGAGTTGAAAGAGGTTGAGAGAAAATTGAACAGAGGATGCCGCAAACACTTGCCAGAGTGCAAAGTCAATCCAATTCTCACGGGGAAGGCGAGAACAACGGCGTCTGGGATAGGAAACCCCTCTAACGGAGGTGCACCACAGCTTTTTTTCTGTCGGCAAGGCGCTGGCGGCGCTGGCTGGCCGCCTGAAGTGGTTGGCCCTTCTTCGTCGCCTCTCCTGGTTGGCGGTCGCGTGACAGTAGTGCAGGAGAATTAGCGGTTTCGGCTGAGAGGGTGAGAGAGAGAGAGAGAGAGAGAGGGTATGAGGTCATGGTAAAAAAAAAACGAAAAAGCTCTGGGGCCCCCACGGGCTTCACGGAGTGCGGTCGAAGCAGCTGAAACGAAAAGGAGAAAGTAAAAAAGATTCAACGGGATTAATACTATGAAACCACGTCGTTTTACAGGAGTAGTTGTGACAAAATAAAGAAAAAGAAAATAGGAGAGGTAATGATGAGAAGTTCCGCTTTATATATATATACACTAGTAATTCTACCCGTGTGATGCACGGGAGAACAAATTGCATTGTTTTGATGTTGTAAGAATATAAACAAACGTTTCATGTATCGTATGATCAAAATTCTTTTATAATCATTCATTAATAATTCATCAGTGGAACATTATTAAGTATACTACACACAAAAAATAAAAATAACTTTGTTGTTGAATAATTTTCCAAATGAATTAAATCAGTTAATACCAGTAGATTGAAAATTTGAAACAGGAAAAAAATCATCAACTATGTCTTTCATGTTGAACTTAAAAGTAATTAGATTCAATAACTTAGTTAACATAATCAAAACTAAACTATCGACAACATACCATCGTAAAAGACCATCTATACATCTTGCATCGGAACTAAGCCCTTCTCCACTGCCTCATTTTAAGGTTGTTTTGCCACTGGAATTAACAATTGGAAAATTAAGAAACAAAAATAAATATAAACTATAAATTAAATATCGCATACAAACAATAAGTCTTGAATGTCGACTTCCAATAGCTTGTGGCTCCGCCCATTTTTGGTTAATTCTCTCAAATCATCCCTTTCAATAACATGTCCAATAACATATAAAATGAAATAATTGTTATACATAAAATTTGAAATCTTTGGTATAAATTAATGAAACACATAATTTAACAAAATGAAATTACCTATAAGCCATGATGGAAAAAGATGTAAACTAATTACCACACAGTCAATAGGATGAAGAAGAAGATAATAAACAAAATCTTAAGTCGGGTTACCAAAAAAAGAAGCCTTAGGTAGGGAAGAAATCAAATTCAAATGTTGCAGACATTCTGTAAAACGATGCCTCAAAATCCCCTAGGTATGAAAATCAGATTTATTTACCCTTTGCTGTAAAAATCGAAAATCAGATTATTATAAATAATATCTAGGAGATAAAAATTTGATGAAAATCGATAATAATATTTAAAATAATATTTAGGAGATAAAAATTTGATAAAAAATCAAAAAATAATAATTTGGAGAAAAAAATCTGATAAAAATCGAAAATAAAATTTAAAATGATAGTTAGGAGATAAAAATTTGATAAAAATTGAAAATAATATTTAAAATAATGTTAATGAGATTAAAGTTGATAAAATACGAAAATAATAATTAGAATAATATTTAGGAGATAAAATATGATTAAAATCAAAATTATTATTTAAAATAATATTTAGGAGATAAAAATCGAAAATAATATTTAGGAGACAAAAATCAGATAAAAATTGAAAATAATATTGAGGAGATAAAAAACTAATAAAAACATGATAAAACTCCAAAAAATATTTATAATATTATTTAGGAGATATAAATTTGATAAAATTCGAAAATAATATGTAGGAGATAAAAATCTGCTAAAAGTTGAAAATTATATTTAAAATTATATTTAGGAGATATAAATTTGATAAAATAAAAAAATATTATTTATAATAATATTTAGGAGATAAAAATTTGATAAAAATAAAAAAAATAATATTTAGGAGACAAAAATCTGATAAAACTAAAAAATAATATTTAATTTCACTACAATGGTGGTTATTTTCTATAAAACAGGATATCGTTCGTATATATCTATATACTTAAATAGATCTATACACTTATTATTAGTGTTATTATATTTTCTCCATTCTTCTAACAATTGTCTCATTCCTTGGTATTTTCTCTGAGTTGCTAATAGTTTGTACATTTGTTTGCCTTAATTGATTTCCTTGGTGGAGAATAGCCTGAAATATCTGTTGTTTCCCTCTTGCCGGTCACTGTATTCTTAGCTGCTAACAATTTTAGTTTTTTTTGCAGTTTCTTGAGGCTTTGTAGAAGAATCTGTTTTTTTTTTTTTCTTGTGTAGGAGTTTTATTGTTTGTAGTAACTATTTTGTTAAAACATTGTCATTCTCATGATCGCCTTATTGTTTATCTACACATATATATCACTTTATTGTATCAACTTTTTTTACTAGAGATATAACATTTTCCAACTACAACTTTGAAATAAATCTTTCTCTTTTTAATTTTAATCGAAGTATTTCATTATTCAGGGTCCCCCATTCTTTTTTATATGTCGATCTTTTAATTATATTTTTCACATCATCTAATTTTTGTTCCCCTTTCACCTTTTTCAGCTTTGTCCAGATGAACATACACTTTTTGTATACATTGTCGGCTTTCCACAATTACTTCTCCGTTATGCTTATCTATCTCATTGCATTATTTTTATTAATCTTCATCAATGTTCGATTTTTTCGTTATGTTTCAAGTCAAAAAGAAATGCGTAACGTATCAAGCAACAATGAAGATGGTATTGTATGGATCAACTGCATTACTTATCGAGAAGATAATGAGCAAAAAATCTACTGCACTCAATGCAAAGAAACTGATTATTGATCAAGATTTTAAATTGACACCGAGTATGATCAATTCGATGATGTGTTTTCTCATGGTTGGGTCTGTATGCTCTGCGCAATCGAACTAGCTAATTTTTATCCACTTAAATATGATATGTAAATTTTATTTCTTCTTAGGTTGTATTGTTCTTCCAAGTTCTTATAATATTTGTATTTACTTTAATATTATCATATCAACTTAATTCGATAAATTAGCTTATGATTATACGACATGCAGTTAATTCATTACAAAATATTATCATACAACGTAATTATCTTAAAGATAAGAAACACCATTCAACTTGGCAACCTCTTGTATTCTAAAATTTATAAAATATTATAAGGTTGCAGATAAATTTTTAAATTTCAAGTTCTCAACAAAATTACATGACGGAGACAATTAAAAAGTAACAAACAAACAACTCATGAGATGTGGATATTTTAACCTAATTGAAAATTCTTTTTAATTATGAAAACTATATTATTCTAATTAATTCAATTGATTAGAATACAACTTTTGAAATTGCTATAATTAACTTAATATCTAAAGGATTAAATTATCAATCTTAATTCTTAATACGTTTAAAAAAACTGAAAAAGGGAATAAAGAAAAACAAATAAAATAAAATGAAATAACCGATCTAAAGGCTTAAATTACCAATCTTAATTCTTAATACGTTTAAAAAAAACCGAAAAAGGGAATAAAAAAACAAAAATAAAATGAAATAACCAACCGACGTGTTCAAATAAAATCAGGAAAAAGATGGAAAATAAAACTTCCCAAACGTGTGCTAAATAGATGGAGAAAAAGAAAAGGATAAAGAAAGAAAAAATATTTTAGTGATTCAATTATTTTAACCACCCTTCACATGATGAAAAACCGTCCACTTCAACCTTTATTTTAGACACTACTTTATCACCACCTTCACACTATCTACAACCGTCCATTCCCAACATACGCACTATCTACCACTCTATAAAGACAAGTTCAACACTTCTAAATCATTGGCCCGATAATTCTTAATTCGTAAACATTGTTATTCTTCTCACTATGCTCCAAAGTTTACATGCATAGCTGATATTAGAGTTAGGGAAATTGAGTGGAAATTCATTGCCCGCATCATGATTATGTGGCTTGTTTTCCGTTCCAATGGTTCAAAGGAACCATATACCATAGAGATGGTGTTAATGGATGACAAGGTGATTCTTAAATTTTACATATATTTTTCATTATTTTACGAAGAATAAATGTATACCTGTATAATAACGTCTTCTAATTATGACAGAGAGGGAAGATACAAGCTTCAGTCACACAAAAACACTTCAACAAGTTTAAAAAATATTTGAATGAAGGAAAAACTTACATGTTCCGTATATTTTGGTTGCTCAAAATTATTCAACTAACCGTGCTACGCTACATATGAATAAAATTACCTTTGAAGGCGCTACCATCGTCACCGAGTTTGCTGCCAACATGATCTGTTGGAAATCTGCTGCAAAAAATTGAATAATAGTTCGTCGAATAGGCAAGGTGAGGCGCGGACTAGGTCGCTCTCTTAAGACGAATTTCACGATCCCTTCTCGAAGAGAAGCAGAAAGGTCTCAATCGTGTCGGCTATGGGATACAACAGCCCAACCTATTTCGTTGCTGTAGCTTCAAAGAAACTGCACTTTCGAGCAAAGCAGAAGCTTGCACCCGACACTTACAAGAACTCGAAATTTGGAATAATTTTTAGAAAGAAATTGTGGAGGAAAAATGTTGGTTGAACTGTATGTCAAATCTGAAATACAATGGCTCCTTTTATAGGTGCCAATTCATAGTGCTGGTAATTATTAAGGTTAATGACCACACTTAAAATTGCTATAATGATAATTTATTTAGAATTTGAATAGCTGATATGTAACTTCAAAAAACGCATGACAGTGCATAAATAATATTTAATATTTGGTCAAAATATGAATTAAAGGAGAATTTGAAAATCAAAACTACAACTGTCAAACATATAATTTTATAGCACGTGTGTATATGATGAAACGCATATAATAATAAGAGTGGTGCACAATTTATAAACTCATATCTCCTGATCCACACTTGTCTCGAGAATTTTATAAAATATTCCAACAATCCCCCACTTATTTTATAAAAATCTTTAAAAAATAAATTTATTTTATTTTAAATTATTCCAAAATTCTGAGTTCTTGAAAGAACATTATGCATAATGAAAGTGTGCAATGCCTTCAAACCTTCACTTAGTATAATACATTTCCCGTACTAGAATCAAAGTGGACTTAGCCTTCAAACAGTGACCCTTGGGGCACGTAGAAACGTATTACACACATAATATTCAAGTGTCCCGAATAAGCTTCTTAAAGCCGGCACATTAACGGCCTTGTGCCTTACCCCATTTTTAGTGAGTGCTCTAGAGAACAACCTATAATTCTCATAGAAAGCGGCCCCACTTTCACACTCACATAGGTGAATTCTATCAAGGATGTTTACGTAACTCCAACACCCCACCCGTCCGTACTATAGAATTCATTAAGAGA